TAACATTATAAAAAGATCCTTTAAAAAGCTTGAATAGAATATTGAATTCATTTTGTTAATTTCTTTTTTATTTTATTTATTTTATTTTATTTTTTTTTGTCTAATATTAATTTACAACTAATCAGAAAAGGTTTATATAGAAAAATTAAATGTGCGAATTAGAAAAATTTGAATATTTATTATACTTTGAAATCTTTTAATAATAATACAATAACTTTGAAAAAAGTTGTAAATGAGGTAAACAATTATAAATTTTTAAAGTTTTTTAACAATATTGATTTATTTATAATAAATTTTTTTATAGATAAAATTACATAAAAGCGTTGATTCTCATTCAAAAATTATTCAATTAAATGGTATCACAAGGAAAAGAACTGGTAATTATTATAAACATAATTAGAATTTTTGATAAATATATTAAATTTTCTTTTTTTATGAATAGGAACCTCAATTTATTAAATAATCAAGTATTCTTTAGTTTTGAAATATACTGATGGTGGAATATTAAATACTTACTTAAAAAATCATTTTAATGAACTTGATTAGAATGATAAATATAAACTAGCTTTATAATTGACAAATGTTATAGAATTCATACACAATTGTGATATTGTTTATTGTAATCTGATGACTATTAACTATTTATTTGAAAATTAAATCAATTATTGATTTATTTTATTGACATTAAATAATTAAAATTTTGTTAACAAATTATAGCATGTAGATAATATATTTATACATCAGAATATTATTAATTTATCAGATTTTGAATTACCAAAAAAATTGCTGATGAATCAAGAATTCCATTGAAAGTTCTTAGTATATTATCTTATAGATCTAAAAGGTTTAGATTAAAATAAGAATTATAAATTAAATAAAAAATCTGATGTTTATAGTATAAGCAAAAGAGAATATATTATTGATAGAACTTTGCCTGAGTATAGTAATCTATATCGAGGTAAATTATAAAAATAATATTTTATTTTAAAAAATGAATTCTAATTCTGATTCATTCAATTAGAATGTTAGAACTATAAAACTGATGAACGTCTAGAATTAAAAAAGGTTGTTTAACTCTTAAAATAATTATTTCTCTTAAATATAATGAAATTATTAATGCAATCTTTATTGATAAAATTGAAATACCTATAAAAAATAAAAGTCTTAAATCAAATAAAGAAATAGATGAGAATTTAAAGGATTTGGCATTACCTGAAGAAGTTAATTATTATAATAATATTGATAAAAATAATTCAAGTTTGCAAAATAGACACTTATTTCAATTAATATAGTATATTTCAAAAATAATTCACCAATAAATAATTTTAGCCATAAATTAAGCAAAGAAAGAGAGAAGGATTTAGCAGATTTAAAAATAACTGAAAATTTTAATTTTTATAATGTAAGCAATTCAAATTTGTAAAGTAATATCTATAGAATCAAATATAATGAATTTTAAAAATTACTCATTAACTCTACTTTTTTAAGTTAATAATTAATCAAGAAGTTTAATATATATAAATCAAATATTTATTGATAAATTAATTGATCTTATAATAGAAAAATACAATGAAGGAATTACTTTTGAACAAGTAAACTATTTAATTGAGCAAAATGTATTCTGATTAAGTCAAATTGAATATCTTTTATATTGGCTAAGTAAGCAGCATAATACATAATATATATGGTTACTTGAATTACTTTATTATTACAATATTAGTATAGTTGTAAGATAGTATTAAAGTATAATAATTATTTCTTAAAGCAGCAGAAGAATATTATTTAATTTTACAAGTTTACTTTGCTAAATGTTATTATAATAGATATGAAGTCGATTGTGATAAAAATCTATCATTTAATTAGTATCAGAAGTCCATAAAAAATGAAAGTAAAGTAAGCCAATTTTATTTAGAACATTGCCATAAATATGGTATCAGAATATAGAAAAATGAAAAAAAAGTAGCATATTAGTATTATAAAGCAGCCAATAATGGAAATAAAATAGTAAAATTTCATTTAGCAGATTGTTTTAAATTAGCAAAGAAGTTGAAAAGGATGAAATTAAGACATTTAAATATTATGAAATATTAACTAAACAAGAAAATTCTGATGCATAATATCAACTTGAAAATTGTTTTTTTGAATAGAATTGGAATATAAGTTAATAAAAATAATGCTTTATATTAATATAAAAATGCAGTAAAAAATAGAAATATTTTTGCAAAGGATACTTTAAAAATGCATTATAATTTAAATAATGAAATAATTAATGCAAAAAAAATAGTTTTTATTAAACAATATTTTTAAAGGAATAATATTAATTGATATAAATAATTATAATGAATTTTATTACTTACAAAAAGCAGCAATAAATAATAATAAAATTGCATAAAATAATCTTGCATTACTATATGAAAATGGTAAAGAAATAGAAAAATATTTAGAAAAACCTTTTATTGATACCAAGAAATAGCTGAAAATGAAAATATTATAGCACAATATAATCTTACATTATGGTAAAGGAACAGAAAAAAATTTAGAAAATGCCTTTTATTAGTATTAAAAAGCAGCTAAAAATAATAATACAAATGCTTAATATAAGCTTGCATTATTATATAAGAATAGCGAAGAAATAAAAGAGAATTTAGAAAAACTATTTATTAGTTTCAAAAAGCAGTTAAAAATAATAATGCATTAGCATAATATAATCTTGCATTATTATATGAAAATGATAAAGGAACTGAAAAAAATTTAGAAAATGCCATATATTGGTATAAAAAAACAGCTGAGAATAATGATGCAAATGCTTAATATAATCTTGCATTACTATATAAGAATAGCAAAAAATCTATTTATTGATTTCAAAAAGCAGCTGAAAGTAATAATATAAAAGCACAATATAATTTTGCATTACTATATTCAAATGGTAAAGTAATAGAAAAAAATTTAGAAAAGGCCTTTTATTGGTATCAAAAAGCAGCTGAAAATAATAATGTAGAAGTTCAATTTGATTTGCATTATTATATATGAATTGTAAGAGAAGGGAACAGAAAAAAATTTAATAAAAACCATTTATTGGTTTCAAAAAGCAGCTGAAAATAATTGTGTAAATGCTAAATTTAATCTTGAATTATTGTATAAAATCAATAAAGGAATAGATAAAAATGTTGAAGAATCTATTTATTAGTTTCAAAGAGCAGCTGAAAATAATGATACAGATGCTCAATATCATCTTGCATTATTATATGAAAATGGTAAAGAAATAGAAAAGAATTTAGAAAAAGCTATTAATTAGTATCAAAAAGCTGCTGAAAATGGTAATGTATTTGCAATGAATAATCTTGCAATATTATATGAAAATAGTGAAGGAACAGAAAGGGATATTAAAGAGGCCTTTTATTGGTATCAAAAAGCTGCTGAAAATAATCATACAAATGCACAAATTAATCTTGCAATCTTATATAATAAAATAGAAAAGGATTATAAAAAGGCCTTTTATTGGTATCAAAAAGCTGCTAAAAATAATCATGCAAATGCACAAATTAATCTTGCAATATTTTATTATAATGGTAAAGGAATAGAAAAGGATTTTGAAAAGACCTATTATTGGTATCAAAAAGCTGCAAATAATGATACAGATATACAATTTAATCTTGCATTATTATATAAAATAGTGGGAGAATAGAAAAGGATTTAGAAATAATCAAAGATCTGCTGAAAATATACTGATTCATTTACACACATAAATAATCTTGCAAACTTATTAAATTATTCAAATTTATAACATAAGAGCATTTTATTGATTCAAAAAGTTGCTAAAAATAGTATTGTATAGGTTTGAATATGATTATCAATAATAGTCTTTCTTTGTACATGCTTGGTTAAGTTTAAATTCTTGAGTATAGTTGCGACGTAAAACCTAAATCTATTTTGCAAATTCAAAACTTTTCAGAAATTATTTCGACAATTTTGATGGGTTTTGATTGGTTTCAAATGTTTCGACGGTTTTGATAACAACTTTGTGAATTTTAATAGAATTCGACGGTTTATTATATTACAATCGTATAATATAAAATTTTTTTTTTTTTGTAATTTATTTAAATTAGAACACAGTTTCCAAAATAATACATTATTTTTCGAACAGGTTTTAATGCATAGGAGTTTATTGAAAAAAAGATGATTTTTTCAAATGAGTACAACTCCAAGTTAAAATTTATTCAAGAAATCAATAACTATTTTATTTGTTGTCTAAATTTAATTTGAAAATAAAGAAACATTAATCCTTTATATATCGTTTATTTTAAAATGTTATTTTGTAATATAAATTTTAGAAAACACCCCTAAGGTTGCTGGACGAAAACATAGTTTTGCAAGTTGTCTAAATGGTAAAGTTAGCAAAATTATTAAAACCTTATTAAAAATCTGCGAAATTAGGGAAGGCAAAACTATATCAACACTTTTTAAAATTGCGAAATCCTTAGTAGAAAATTAGCGAAACTAAAGGTTTAGACGTTTTGCCAAATCTAAAATGGGTTTAGACTAGTAACCTTAAACAGTAAAATTAACGACAACGAAGGCATTAATATATATTTAATTAACAAAAAATTTGAATTTGTTGTTTATCGTGAATCCTAATAAATCTAATGAAGATTATAGCATTTATTCTATAGGACCATATTAATGATTTTGTTAAGATTTGTGTTTACGAAAGAACTTTTCAGATATACATTCGGTCTCCATTACATCACATCCTGAGAATTCGGCGTGATTTTAAAAAAGCTATACAGAGAGTAATGGTAAATAACTTTATTATTATACTTCAGCCTTACACAAATGTGTTTAGGGAGTGACTATATAAGGAGTTGTATATTTTAAATTCGTTGTGCCATTCAAATCTGTCTAGGAACAAAACGTTCACCATTCTAAGTTAATGAAAAATAAAATTGAATTCAAATATTTTTAAATTTAAAAACGATATTTATCAAAAAATTATCTTCTTTTTAATCCTGATTTTCTTCTTTTATACCAACATTTTCATCTTCTAACCGTCGTCGCTTTTCAGCTTTTAAAACTTTAATTTCACGTTTATATAGTTCGTTTTCTTTAACTAACATTTCAAAATCTCTTTTTGATTTCTCAATTTCTTTCCTTGCATCTTCAAGATCTCGTTTAACCAATTGGTTGGCAGTGTACCATCTTTGATAATTTCTGTCTTTAAAAGTAAAAAAATGAAACCAAATGAAAATTAAAGATCATATTTGTAATCATACGGAATGAAGTTCATAAATTTTACCTTGTTGCATAAGGTGATTTTGCGCAATATCTAATAATTGTGGAGTGGAAAATTTAGGTACATCATCCCAATTATCGAAGACAGCCGGTTTACGTGTGTATACATCACCAGTTAAATTTCTGGGAGTAAGTTCATCATCTATTGAGTTTACAGAAAATGGAGATTGCGATCTTGTTGGAGGTGTACCGGGAGCTTGTGGAAAAGTAGCTCTAATACTAGAATTCTTATATCTCCAATGTAAGGGTATTGATGTTGTTCTACTTTGTATGGCGTATTGGAAGAAGGGATCGTTATCGTCTTCATCATTTTGAGATTTCCATTTAAAGAAATTACATTTTCTCGAATGATTCGGAGTACCAAATTTGCTGCATGACCAAAAAAATCTTCCTTTATTTATTGTGTTTGACTTAACCTCCCGAAGAACTGGTTCAAGACCACAATCACAATTACTTATGAATATTCCTTGCTGTGAAGTGTTGGTATTGTAACCTGAATTAACGTCTTCCATTTCTGTTTTGTAATAGGAGAACTGGCCAAATAGTGATACAAATATTGAAATAATTTTTGATAAAAAAAAATTTTGATAAAATCCAGAGTGAATAATTTGATATTTATGAGAAAATAATTTGAGTTAGACTGAAAAATCAAATTAATCACTCCATGGACTAAGGTCCATAACAAGTTTGGCACCCTTGATCATCAACTCAGAAAATTTTTTTTTCCGGTAAAAAAAAAAAGGAAATGAAGGGTAACGGTTTGACGCCAATGAATGGATTGTTGTATAAAAACAATTGGTTTTGTTAAGGATTGATCGAAGACTTGTGTAACATTGCTATATAGAGAATCGTCCAAATTACATAATTATTTTCACATGTATTTCACACAAGGAGAGAATGGCGTAAATTTATTCTAAGTAAGTTATAGTTTTTTTTGATAAGCGACATATTGCGATGATTAAAATTCTGATAAAAATTATGATCCGGTTTATAATTCATTTTTGACATTATCTGTTAAAAACATTGCAGGAAAATGGATAATAATATGCATGCTAAACTCTTTTATGAGTTCCTTCCTAAAAAGCGGATTTTGGAAAAAGAATATTATGCTCGAATCTTTTTGACTGCAAAATCCAATCATAAAATGATTTAAATCCTGTTCCCATAAAATTTGGATGAATGTTAAATTCAGGCAGAAGAGGGAGTTCAATAGGGAAAGCTAAATCTCTATAAAAGGTCAACAAGGAAAGTAATCCAACGATTCTTTTGTATATCACCATTAGTCTAGAAATTTTAATGTATGACTTAGGGACGCTGTAACTGTTATTGAGATAAACAGAATTACCACGACAAGTAAGCCGGAAAATGAATGAATTTAAAGGAAAACAACGTGCGTGCCTAAGATCATTTTTTTTGAGCGTGGTATGGCACAGTAAATACACAATAATCTACTGTTTATGCTATTCCATAAAAGTGGATCAATAAGTAGAGTTACATAATAAATCACTTTACAACCAACATATTGTGTTACAGAGATCGGTGAATTAACAGAGCTAGCGTCTTTGATTTTGGCCAAATTTTTTAAAAGAGTCTAACGTTGTGAGATGTAAATCAAAGTTTTATAATAATATCAAATCTATGATATAATCTTAAAATAATTAGCACATTTCTTCAAAAGTATCGTTGAGAATATAATATAATGGTATTTAGAATTAATTTTTGATAATTATATGATTTGAATTTATTAAACGCGGCGCAGAAAGATATCTTTGAATTAAATTCTTGAACTCGTGATCGGACAACAAAATATTTTAATTTGTTAGATAATGTGCTTAATTATTTGAAAATGAATTAACAGATACGACACGCCGATAAGAAAAAAAAGATTTACTATGTGTGAGATAATCAGTAAGATCTCGATACTACGAACATTTAAGGTCTTAAATGGTCTACATGCATAAACTTTAAGTAATTCATTTTTCAAGTTTGGGCAGAATGATCGACATGTGCTGAAGTCGTTTCTTTTATTGTCAAAAAAAAAAAAAAAAAAATTCAAAAAAAAAAAATTCATTTAAAAGTAAAAAAAAAAGAAAATGTGTCTTTTATCTTGCATTGTTGTCACATCTGTTGGGAGCGCTGCCGCAACTATAGGAGCTCCTGTGTTTCTTACGGCTATGGGTTTAGGCGCAGCTGGAGTCGTCGCGGGATCTATCGCATCGGGCTCTCAAGGCGGTCTCATTGTTTTCTTCACAGTAACTTCATTAGCTATTTCTTTTATGCGTCGCCGCTTAACTGTTCGTAGCTTAATAAGGTAATTTGGAATTTAAATCTTTCTTTTGCGAATATTGTTACATTAATTCAATTAACGGGTCATTTTCACTTTTGCTTAGACCAAGGAACTTACTCAGGATTCTAATAATTTCTTCTTAACTTTCTCCGGAAGACAAATTTATAATTCAAGAAAATTTCAAATTATTGTTTATTTGATGGAAAGATAATTGTAAATTTTTTGCAATAAGGTAACTAATGAAAATTTTTCGAGACTAATTTTTTTTAAATGGTGCTTCCAAATAATTATTATTATAAAAAAGTCCAAAATTCTTTCCCTTAAATTTCAATGTTATGGTTAAAAGTAACGTTATACACCGCTCAGGAAGGTGTAATGATAGTTTATGGCTCTAATTCATCCACAAAAATAATTAATAGTTTCTCGGCACGAAGTGCCATATGATTGGTGGAATTGCTGAGCGAGCTCAGCAAATTCCACTGACCAGATTCTTATTGTAAAGGCACGGCAGTGCCGCAGTTACGAGGTCACGTGCTGCCGAGTAACTGTTTTATCGGTTTACACAAAATAGCTTAATTTATATTTCTTTTTTTCTTTTACGCCCTAAAAAATTTTTTTTTCTTTTGATAATATAAAATGACAATATATTTCATCCAAAGGTAATCAATTACCCTCCCTTGAATAACTATCAGCACTTTCGAAAGGTAGAGTTCCTCAAAACACAATTGTCTGCGTCAAATATATCTGATGAAGATCATACTATCATGAAAAAAAGAAAAGATTACAAATTCAAGAAAGTGACGATAGTTAAGAAATATAATAAAAATTGCACTTTCAATAAATAAATTGATAATTAGTTATTAAACTATATTAAATAATGTTTTTTTTTTTTTTTTTTTTTTTTTTTTTTTTAAGTGCGGCAGTCTCGCATGATCTTTATTAAATTTATGAGATTACAAGAAAAACAAAA